TGGCTGGGGGGGGGAGGGCGGCGCAGCTAGTGCGGGGTTCCCTTACCCCGTTCTTAAGTAGGGATCCGACATAAGTCAGATGCACGTAACCCGGGGACTGCCTGTACTGAAAGCATTAATGTTTATTTTTTCTGCTACAAAAAGATAATTGAACAAAGCTTCAAAACCATACTACACTACCAGACTAGTCATGGTTATGGCTGGTTTTTTTAATTTACAAAAAGAAATGCTCACTCTCCTTGTGCTGACCTCACAAATCTTCATTGCTCTCCAAAAACTCTTGGCTGTGTCCTTTGGTGGCAGTATCAGATGTCTGGTTACAGCTTCCTTTCACAGACCATCACCATTGCTGCCTTATGCGGAGACTAACACTTTTGTAACCTCTGGCTTAGGCCAAGAAGCAGGGCCTTATTTTACAGGTCTCCTAAGAAAAAGGCTTCTTAAGCTGAAACCTCTAAAAAGGTTGCCACTGGAATTTTAACTGACACAAAGCATGCTCGGCATGCTCCTCCAGTCTAGCTGGAGTTACACTGCCATCTTGTCCAGTACCAAATCGACTGTAAAATCGTCCTAAAAGTTTATAAATGGCGCTCACACTCTGGGACATATATTTATTGTTGTCTCTGAGTCTCACCATTGTTTGTGACCTATGTGAAGCCTGTTTGCCAGCAGTTGCAAAAAAACCCGTTAGAGATCCACACAGCATGTTACTGAAAAGAAAACTTACCTCAGCTTAGGTAAAAAATGCAGTGTTAAAACAAACAAACAAACAAACAAAACAAACAAAAAATTCCTCAAGATCTTATTTAAAAACAAACAAACAAACAAATAACCCAACCAACAACCTCCTGTTTGACAGAACCTTTTGTATGTTCACGGGCCTTAGTGGTGGATGCACTCAAGGGGAGTTGTGAGCAATCTAAGACATTGGGGTTACTGTAAGGCCCATGAGAATATAAAGTTCATTTGAATAAAAGCAGCAATACGTATTTATTCACTGTTGAACTGCATTAATAATTGGGAATTGGTTGTCAAAAATGACTACTAAAACATGGCAGTCTAGCGCATTCTTTGCAACATTATACACATGTATATAGGACTAGAAATAAGATAAGAACTACTCTATCAGAAGGAAGCAGAGGGGAAAAAAAAATCAAGGTCACTTCCATCTGTGAATTTCTTTTTTAACTCTGTGTGAGTTAAAAATAAATTCACAGATGGGAGCACCCTTAATTTTTCCCCCTACTTCCTTCTGACAGTTTGGGGTACTCTTTCTCCTCTACTCTCACCCATTTCCTTCTTATCTTCTCCAATTTATTTTCCCTCTCGCCTGCTTGTCTTTATACTTCCCTTTGCTACTCTTCTTGCTTGTGTCTCCTTTGCTAATTCTAGTTATGGCTGTGAGAAAGCCAGGCCAAAAGAGTGAGTCTACAAAGACCTTGTCATCGGTGGTCATAGGTATCCTACTGTAAAGAAGGCAAAATCTTGGACCTATTGCCAGACAAGCCTGGTCTCTCACTGTCATGAGACCGACATTGAAGTTGATAACGTCAGTGTCTCACAATTCCTCCCCAAAAGCATCATGTAACCAGTTAAAGAGACATAGTGTGGTGTTTTAGATGCTGCTTGTAACTATTAGAACTGGGAGCACTGGCTGTTGGGAATCTGGAAGCACGGGAAACAGGAAGGCGGGGGTAGGAGATGGGCCAGGCCTGAGTAAGAGCTACAAAGGGGAGCAGCAGCAGCTTTGTAAAGAGGTTTCACCTTTGGTAAATAAAGGCCTGTTGAAGTTTGTTACTACCTTGCTTGCATGATACAACACATGGGAAGACAATCTTGTTGGAGTCTAGAAGGCAATGTTCTGGAAGGGGAATGGCCAGGCTCTAATCTTTGGGACATGACCAATATCACCTGTTTCAAGGCCCTGCATGGTGCAACTCATTGCTAACCAGCTCATCTTACAGACCTTGAGTTGTTTTATCACCATTTTGAGACAGCACACAACTGGTATCTTCAACGCTCAGTCCTACTCACTCTCTTCAGTGGATCAACTGCTCACTTGGCGCTATTTTCTGACATGGTATTGCCCTCCTATAGAGTTTCATGACAGGCACAAGCAATTATTACTTCCTGGCAGCTTAGAAGCCGTGACAGTAAATTTTGCAATCTGGAAGTGGAACATTTTGTCAGAATAATCAGTGAAGAGAGACAAGCTACAGTGCTGCACCTGTACACTCTTGAATGGGGTACTAGATTACAAAAGTAAACAGCAGCTTTTAAGTCACAGAGGTAGCACTATTTCCATGACTCCATCAAAACAGCTTACATAAGAACATAAGAATGGCCGTACTGGGTCAGACCAAAGGTCCATCTAGCCCAGTATCCTGTCTACCGACAGTGGCCAGCACCAGGTACCCCAGAGAGGGTAGACTGAAGACAATGTTCAAGCAATTTGTCTCCTGCCATCCCTCTCCAGCCTTTGACAGACAGAGGCCAAGAACACCATTTTATCCCCTGGCTAATAGCCTTTTATGGACCTAACCTCCATGAAATTATCTAGCTTCTCTTTAAACTCTATTATAGTCCTAGCCTTCACAGCCTCCTCTGGCAAGCAGTTCCACAGGTTGACTACACGCTGTGTGAAGAAGAACTTTCTTTTATTAGTTTTAAACCTGCTACCCATTAATTTCATTTGGTGTCCTCTAGTTCTTCTATTTAGGGAACTAATAAATAACTTTTCTTTATCGGCCCTCTCCACACCACTCATGATTTTATAGACCTCTATCATATCCCCCTTCAGTCTCCTCTTTTCTAAACTGAAAAGTCCCAGTCTCTTTAACCTCTCCTCATATGGTACCCGTTCCATAAGCTTTTCCCTCAATAAGTTAATATATTTTAGCTTTTAGATATTCTGAAATTAATTGAGCTGGGGCATTATTACCAAGTAATATTCCTCAGGAGTATATTAATCATACAGACCTAAAACTAAACCAAATAAATGAGTTGCTTTCCTTGAACTCTGCAATTTACAGAATGAATATAAATGTGTTTAACACAATTATATGGAGGTCTGCATGGAATGCACAATTAGCAAAGTAACAACAAACAAGTAAGTATTTATTTCTTCAGCATCCACCCCCATGTTTGTCATCTGACTGTGCATAATGATTAGTCTCAAGAACAGATTAGAGTCTAGTTTAAATAGCACCTCTCATACTTTAAATAGCCTGAAGAGTTACAAAAAAAGCATTGAGCTAGACCAGGGTGGGCAAAGGGGCCTCTGCGCACTGGATCTGTCCCGTGGTCACCCTGCCACTCCCTTGCCCCCAGCCAGTCGAGACCTGGGGATGGGAGAGCGTGTGAACTCTTCTCCCCCCTCCTCTGCCAAGGGCACACGGCAGCTAGAGAGAAACGCCAGCTGTTTTAAAACAGCCCTGACTGGCCCGGGGAGGGATGGGGGGAGGGGAGCTTGCAAAGTCTTCTCCCCCCGTCAGGTGCACGCAGCATCAGAGGGAACCGCCACATGTTTTAATACTGCCAACAGCTCTTTCTAGCTGCCGCACGCCTCTGGCAGGGTGGGGGCAGGGAGTGAAAGACATCACGAGCTCCCACAACCCCCAGGCCCGGCCCAGGGAGCGTGCAAGATCTCCTCCCATTGCAGTACTTAGAGGGAACCACCAGCTATTTTAAAACAGCTGACAATTCTCGGGGGGAGGGAGGAAAGGAGGGCTGCAGAACTAAACTTCAGGCACTCCCCCACTCCAGGCTGGGGGAAGAAGGGAGGACACGAGAAGTCCTCTGGTCCAGGGCCACTTCAGAAATTTAGGAAGTGGCCCCTTCTTAAAAATTATTGCCCACCCTTGAGCTAGATACTGATAGCACGGTGATCAGGGGTCTCCTCTTGCTCAGACTGAAGTCAACGGCAAAGGCTGAGTTCAATCGTGAACTGGCCCTTTCCAGCAAATGAAAGAGCCATCTCATACATTGACCTAACTCTCAGCCTTGGGCAACTGAAGTTAGTTCCTAGCAGATGGAACACTAGCCACAGCTTCAGGATAATCCTCTACTTTCTTCACAAAGGCACTACTGGATCTTTAACTTACAGCTAGTGAATAATTTCTGCCAAAGATGGACAGAACTACCACCAGACTATTACTACCCCAGGACTGCAGACTTACTGCAAATTCTCTTCTCAGCATATCACCTGGGGGGAGAGAGAAGAGGTGGGAAGAAGAGGCTTGAACTCAGTCCCGTGGACTAGAAAAGAATGCAACCAGGTAAGCCAAAGATGATGGCATAAAATATTGTTCTCGGTTTTAAAATAGCATAGTGAAGGCCCCTAACACTGCAGTGGCAATGCTGTCAGCTGTAGTATTTTAAACCATTGCTGTACAATATTATAATATATATGAATACAGGTTATTTAAATCTTTGCTTATTGACACTGACTATCAAGCATGTGCGCAATATTAATATATCGATAAAACCCTGGGCTTGCTGAAATCTAGAACAAACTCCCCTGGGTTCCAATGAGGACAGGATTTCATCCTATGCCTATGCTGAACTTACACCTCAACTATTAATTCTCAGGACTAGAGAAGCCAAGTAGAAGAAGTGATGCTGATTTAATTTTTATTCAACACAATTTTAGCACCTGCTCAAAAGACGCAACTAATGAACATGTACAATGTACAGACTAAGTACTTTACAAAACACTAATAAGCTGAACACATTTTGTCAAAGCTGAGCAAAATACCAAATTTAAATGCTTTACTTAATAAGAAATGCATATGTATTATTTAAATAAATATGGACAGAAAGATTAAGGCATTCTAGTTCTTTAAATATCTGTAAGAAGAAGGTAGTGAGAGAAACATCTCTATGGCTCTATTTATATCTACCCATCCTCAAAAGGCCCTCTCATCTCAAATGAAAACAGAACAACAGAATGTAAACATGTGTACTTACCAGTATCTCCTTTAGTTCTTTCACTGCACCTTCAGAAGCTTTTGGTGTTTCTGGCTGTAATTAAACAAAACACACAATCAAATCTGATTGTGAACATACTGACTGTAGAAGAAGCATTTGTTTTGTTTGTCCTAAAACACAAGACATGAGTCTGCAATGGGTTTGTTGGCAAAGCCTGGTAAATAAGATATCTTGCAAGGTATCAAGTGTAAACTGGTGACATGCTGATCAGGAATGCATTGTATAATAACCCATATATATAAATAAAACCCATATATATGGGTTATGTACCAAGAGTCATGAATGGCTGCTGGGAATAAGTTTTTAAACAATATTTTAGAGGCACTGCATAAATCGAGGCAGGCAAGATTTAGCTCGCAGGCTGGATCTGGCCTGCCAAGTCTTTTAATCTGGCCCACAGCCTACTCCACTGGGAGTCTGGACATAGAGCAGCTGATTGTTCAATGTGTCTCTCTGCCCAACGGAAGGGAGAGAGGCATTGAACATTGCCTCCACCCCCCAGCACAATTTCTCAGCTCCTATTGGCCAGAATCTGGCCAATGGGAGCTGAGAGGTTGTGCTGCACCGCCCCATCCCAGGAGAAGGGAGGCAGCATGCTCAATCCTCCCACATGCAGTGCAGAGAGCCACATGAAGCTGCCAGCTGCTTTGAGCAGTCACTCTGGACCCTATCTCCATCATATCTACCTCTCCCCCCAGCATAGTGTCATCCTCAACTTGCTGAGGGTGCAAACCATCCCATCATCCACAGCATTCATGAAGATGTGGAACAAAACCAGACCCAGGAGTAACCCCGGGCATTGTATTTGATACCAGCTGCCAACTAGACATTGAGCCACTGATAACCACTCATTGAGCCCGATGATTTAGCCAGTTTTCTATCCAGTCATCCAAGCCTTAGTTGTTTATCTTGCTGGCAAGAATACTGTGGAAGACTATATCAAAAGCTTTGCTAAAGTCAAAGTTTATCATATCCACTACTTTCTCCATATCCAATATTCTATTATCTTACCCTTTGTTTACAGGCTATTTCAAGCTTTTGTGCAGACAGTCGCTGCAGATGGGTTTACACATTACTGCTATGTCTTGCATACAGGGAAAAAATAGAAATACCGATGAGATGAAAAGTATATTAGACTGTCGTTTAAGGATCAAGTCTTTCAGAATGTCTTTACATTACCCAATCACATTCTTCTTCAGCTTGGTCTTTCAGTTCTGTTTCATATTAGTTATGTTTACTTAGAGATTTCTAAAAGAGTGTCCTCTATTGGACATGCATCTGACGAAGTGGGTCTTTGCCCATGAAAGCTTATGCTCCTACAATACTTCAGTTAGTCTATAAGGTGCCACAGGACTCCTCGCTGCTCTATTGGTCTATGACGCTTGAGAAGGTGCTCTCTGTTAGTGTCTCTGTGAATCAAGGCAAATGCACCCAAGACCCTTCTGAATACTCACATACCAAAAAGACCTTGTGAATAAGGATAAAGTTCTAAGAGAATCAACAAAAATTACTTAAGGGCTAGATGGCTAGAATGAGGACAAAAATGCAGTATTATAGCTAGACTACATGATGACTACAGCCTACATCCCAATTATTTTCTCCTCCTTCAACCTTTCAGGCTGAATGGTGTACTGTCCAGCAGACAATCCATGACTTTACCTTATTCTAATCAAACAACAAGCAAAAGAAAAAAATGTGCTCTGATAAATGCATTATGGTAAATGCAATTTGTTTCCAGCATATATTAACATATGAGGCTAACAGTATTCTAATTTCTCCCAGTTCAAGATTAAATATAAAACGATTTCACCAAGAAGGTTGGTTGTTATTGAACATATATCATGGTGAATGCTAGTGGAAATGGGGTAGGTTCAGAAGTTAAAATAGGAAAAGATCAAGTTAAAAATTACTTAGAAAAGTTACATATCTGTAAGTCACCAGGACCTGATGAAATGCATCCTAGAATACTCAAGAAGCTGATAGAGGAGATATCTGAGCAACTAGCATTATCTTTCAGAAGTCATGGAAGACGGGAAAAATTCCAGAATGCTGTAAAAAGGCAAACATCCAGCTACAAAAACGGAACAAAGTACAACCCAGGAAAGTACAGATTAGTCAGTTTAACTTCTGTGCCAGGAAAGATAATGGAGCAAATAATTATGGAATCTATTTGCAAACATCTAGAAGATAATATGGTGGTAAGAAATAGCATGGATTTGTCAAGAAGAAATAATATCAAACCAACCTGATAGTTTTCTTTGATAGGATAACAAAACTTGTGGATAGATGTGGTATACCTAAACTTTAGTAAAGCATTCGTTACAGTTTTGCATGACCTTCTTATAAATAAACTAAGAAAATACAACCCAGATGGTGTATCTATAAGTGGGTGCATAACTGGTTGGATAATCATTCCCAGAGAATAGTTATCAATGGTTCAAAGTCACACTGGATGGGTAGAACAAGTGGATTTCATATAGATCCCTTTTGGGACCAGTTATGTTCAATACCTTCATCAACGATTTAGATAATGGTAGAGAGTATGGTTATAAAGTTCGCAGATGATACCTACCTGGGAGGGGTTGCAAATGCTTTGGAGGATAGGATTATAATTTAAATTGATCTGGGCCAATAGGAGAAATGGTCTGGTCTGAGCTAAATAGGATGAAACTCAATTAAGACAAAAGCAAAGTACTCCACTTAGGAGAGAACAATCAGTTGCATACATACAAAATGGGAAATTACTGTCTAAGAAAAAGTACAGAAAAAAGGAATCTAGAGGTTATAGTGGACCATAAGCTAAATATAAGTCAACAGTGTGACACTGTTGGAAAAAAACAAATATGATTCTGGGAAGTATTAACAGGAGTGTTGTAAGCAAAGCACGAGAAGTAATTCTTTCCCTCTACTCTGCACTGATTAGGCCTCAACTGGACTGTTTTGTCCAGTTCTGGGAGCCACATTTCAGGAAAGGTGTAGACAAACTGGAGAAGGTTCAGAGAAGAGCAATAAAAATGACTGAAGGTCTAAAAAACATGACCTATGAGGGAAGATTGAAAGAACTGGGTTTGTTTAGTCTGGAAAAAAGAAGATAGAGAGGACATGATAACTTTCAAGTACCTAAAAGTAGGAGGAGCAAGAAAAAATATTTTCCTTGACCTCTGATAAGACAAGAAACAATGGGCTTAAATTGCAACAAGGAAGGTTTAGGTAGGAAAAACTTCCTAACTGTCATGGTGGTTAAACACTGGAATAAATTGCCTAAGGATGTTGTGGAATCTCCGTCATGGAAGATTTTTAAGAGCAGGTTAGACAATACCTGCCAGGGATGATCTAGATCAGGGCTGGGGAACCTTTTTTGGGTCAGAAACTGCTGACCCAAAACAAAATCAGTCTGGGGCCACACAAGTGAGAAGAAAAAACAAAAATAAAAAAAAACCCTCTCTGATGTGGCCCCCAACTGAGGAGAAAGACATTCCTCACGTTCCCCTTGCACACTAAAGCCTAGGGAAATCCAGCCTAGTAGATTTTGTGCGCGCCAGCCGAGCACCAGGCCAACAGGGGACGGGGTGGGCTGGAATGCCAGCATGGGCTCCCCAATGCTGGGTGGGGGCCCTGAGCTTCAGGGGACTGGAGCCAGGCAAGTCAGAGGCTGCATCTGGCCCCTGGGTCTGAGGTTCCTCATCCCTGGTCTAGATGGTGCAGGGTACAGGACTTGACCATTCGAGTTTCCTTCCAGCCCCAGTATTCTAGGAGTCTAAGAAACCAATGTTTAATTATTCCAAACCTTTGCCTTGGGTCTGGTTGACTGATTAACTGGCCTTAGGTGAACTCCCTTTTTAATTCTGTCCATCATTTCTTCAACCGCTTGTCTCTTCAAATCTTTTACTTCTTCCCCTGTTTGTAAGGGATAAACAGTATCAGGTTAAAGATGCTAGATATCTGATCAAGAAAATACTTTACATTTTAAAAATTCTAGGGGGTGGTGCCCCCTGCTCACTATGCTCACCAACCCTCCTCTCTGGGGGTAGGCAGCCCTGGCTCTAGTGTTCCCTCCAAGCTGTGGGGCAGCACAGCTCCACAGGTGATTAATCAGCCCTGCCCAGTCAGCTAACTCCATGCAGGGAGCCCTGAGTCTCTGACTGAGCAGGGCTGATCATTCACCTGTGGAGCTGTGCCGCCCCCCAGCTTTGAGGGAACACTGCCCAGCTCCACCCCCACACCAGAGGCCGGGGAGGGCCAGGGTGAGGCATGGCAGCCTTGGCCCACCATCCAACCAGTCACTGGGACCCCGCAAAGCCAGGCTAGCCCCAGCTCTCCCACCCTGCTTACTAGGTGCTAGGGGGGCTTGGGCCAGGCTGAGGCTGGCCCAGCTCTCCCCCTCCCACTCCCAGCTGCCAAGGAGGGCCAAGGGCCAAGGCCACCCTGGCCCCAGGCCTACCTCCCCCACCCCCCCAGCTGCTGAGGAGGGTCCAAGGCCACCCTGGCTCTTCCTCCCTGTCCCGAGGCCAAAGCCACCCCAGCCCTTGCCCCCTGCCCCTGCCTCTTTGCCCCCTCATCTGGCTGCCGGGGGGAGGGAGCGGGGCATGAGACCTGACCGTGACTCTGGCCACAAGGATGGAGGCCTCGTGGCTCCCAGCCCCCCCCAGGGAAGGACGCATGACTCTTGGACCCTCTCCACCCATGAGGGGCGCAACTCCCAGACCATCCCCGGAGCACCAGGGAAGCCACATGGCTGCCATTTGTCCCAGCACCAGGGAGACCGGGCCCTCAGCACCAGTAAAGAAGGGAGGAGGCTGGGAGACTGAGGGGGGGAGGAGCTGTGGGACGCAGAGTGACGTGATGACATCACTCTGTTGTCCCACAGGAAAAACTTTTTTATATATAAAGAAGTAACATTCACCACATGCTCCAAGTTACAAATATATAGGAATGTAGTCACAAAAAGCAATGATCAAGGAACAATTAACATGCAATGTGGATAACTGTATACCTGAAAATATTCCTCATGTCAGCGTGAGCAGGTGCAATATAGAATACAAACTCTCTCAGATTTGGCTGTATTATTAATAAAAATGAGAACTAAACTTCAACATAAGCTTTGTTTCTAACTCTGATCTTGGCTATTTATAGGGTTTTCCCACAGGATGGCCTCTGTCCTAGCCCCTAGCTTCTCCCTTCCCCAGAGAGGTACCCCTTACATCACTTAAGGTATGGTAAGATGGAAATAACACGATCCACATGTTAGCCGACATCAGAAGAATCTACTTTGTATCATTTTACAGAGTTGTACTACCTGGATTTAGGGTGATCCAGGAACCTCACAACCATATGCAGGATCCTACACAGTTCCTCATTTGTAAATTGTTACAATCCCATTGCCTCCAAATGATCTAAATCAATTTACACAAGTTGCTGATCTGGCTTCAAACCTTCTGCTCTTTTACAGTCAGATAATTATACTAATTATAATCATTGTAACAGCACAGCACCTAGGAGCCCACTAATGAATCAAGACAATATTTTCTCCAGGTGGTGTGTTAAGCTAGTGCAAGATTCCAGTTCAGACTTGGAAGTAGGGATGTTAAATTTACATTAATCAACTAATCAAATAGTCCATTGAATTTGCATCAACTACTCAATTAGTCGATGAGGGCGTCTCCACCTTCGTAATATAGCAAGAGCACCGCCAGCTCCTGCTACATTTCAAAGGCAGAAGCGCCACGGGGAGCACGGGGCCAGCGGGGGACTCACGACTGAGCCTGTGCTCCCCACACACTTCAGTTTTGAAATGAGCCCTGAGGGGCTCTTGTACATTTCAGAAGCAGGGAGCACAAGGCGAGTGGAGGACTGCTTGAGTCCCCCACTGGCCCCATGCTCCCCACGGCGCTTCTGCTTTTGAAGTGAAGCAAGACCTTCACTCTCACTACATTCCAAAGGCAGAAGCGCTGCTAGTTCCCCACTGCGCTCCTTCCCCTCCCCCACCCCCGAGATGCTTCTGGAGGGAACAAGCTTTTAAGCCAGCTCCCCCCAGCAACTGGCTCCTGCTCCCTCCACCTGCTGCCTCTCTCTGGCACAGGCAACAAGGTTGGGGG